CATAGGAGCAGAGGAGGCAGGAGCAGGGGCAGGAGCTGGGGGCATAGGAGCAGGGGCCATTGCGGGGGCAGGAGCTGGGATAGGAGCAGGGGCCATTGCGGGGGTGGGAGGGGGCATGGGCAGTGCTACGGGAGGGATGGCGGGGGCATGGGGTACGGCCATGCCATAGTGCACAAAGTGTGTAGTGAGAATGGCCATGGGCGGCCAAGGACAGCCATCCTTGTACACTGTGCCTGGAAGGCACCCCAGGCCTCTTGCCGGCACTGCAGGTCCCCCTGCACGCGCTCGCGAATGGAGCCCTGGATTGCCTCCACCGCTACAACGTGGTGGCGAAGCAGCTGGTCCCGGTGTTGGAGGCTGCACCTCCAGGGTTGGCCAGCTGGGGGCGCTGCTGCTGCCGGACTGGAGGGTCTTGTGCTCGTCCCGCTGCAGGGAAGAGAAGAAAGGATGGGTCAGTCAGGCAGGCCGTCCACTGTCCCCACACCGCATGCCCTTCACCCCTGAGCCCAGGTGACCCCACAGTTGTGTGGCTTGGGCCCACTCTGTTTCCCCCCTACCCCCGATGTTGTATGTTTGCAAGGAGGACCGCCCCTGGAGTAGGGTCCTCCTCCAGTATTGTCTTTGTATTGGCCCCATGGAGGGCGGGAGGGTGCTTGTGCTGCGTTCACCTGTGGAACTCCCTGCTGGTGGAGACTGTGAAGCTTTGGGCTAATCACTGGTGTTAGACAGGGAGCGAGATGCATCCCCACACGGTGCCTGGGAGCACAACTGGCAGAGGCGGTCTGGGCTCACAGATCCCTTCGCATGGGATATCTCCTGGACGGAACCAGAAGAGTGACTGGGGTGGGGATGTCCCATCCTTGCAGCAAAACTCAGGGCAGGCCTTCTCCCTCCCACTATCCCTCCCACAACCCCGGTAGCCCAGGGACATGTGTGGCCACAGTGGGGACTTCCCTCGGAGAGCCAGCCAAGGCACCGGGAGCAGGCGAGGGGCTCGGTGGGGGCCACGGTCACAGGACCGTGACGCTGCGGTGTACCCAAGAGCAGCTGGCTGTGCCTCACAGCCAGGCATGGGACAGTGTGTCATTCTCCGTGCTGCACCCTTGGCAGAGCTGCGGGCTCTGGGCTGAGTCCTTGGGGCCCTGGCCGGTTCCAGCCGGCATCCACCCTTCCCCCTGGTCCCGCCGCATGTGTGTGAGCAGCACGGTCCCAGGCGTTCCCTGGAGCTGCCTGCTGTGGCCACATGCCGCTCGGTCACCAGACTGCACGTGGTTGCACGTGCTGCTTGCTGCCTCATGCTACGCAGCGTGCAGCTCACGTGGCCTGAGTGACATGCTCTCCCCCCCGGGCGCCTGGCCCCCCCCCGCCCTCCGCCCTTGTGAGTGCAAACTGCAAAGACTCACCAGTGGATCCTTCCCCGGCCTCGGAGGAGCTACTGGAGGGGGGCAGCTGGGTGGCAACGCTGGCGTCCTCTCCCAAAGCGCCGCCACTGTCCTCTTCC